ATAGGTATGAATGAGAATGAATATCTTCATAATACAAGGGATATGTTTGAGCGGTTGCAAATATATCTTCACAATGTGTTTAACCGGTTTCGAATATATCTTCACAATAAAAAGGGTTTAACCGGTTTCAGATATATATCCCGATTGTGTTTAAACGAATAATATAAAACCGGGGCATATATATCCCAATACAAGGGATGTGTTTAACCGGTTTCGAATATATATCTCGGTCAGAAGAAAATACATAAATACATGTTCTCAATTTTTTTCTGGCGAAGATATATTCGAAACCGGTCAAATACATCTCTTGTCTTGTGAAGAGATTCATTCTCTTTCAAACGTATTCTACATTTGTCACTGTGATTATTTTTTCTGCATTATTTTTTTTATATCCTTGCGTTAATGGGAATATTGTTCATAGAGTTTTAGAGGGATTTTGAACAGCATCAGCAAGGGAAAGAGGAAAGTGTTCATAATTTTTATTTTCTTACCCAACGAATATATATTTTTGGTAAATTTAGTTTGGTTTGTTACTTCTTTGTTCGGACACAGATATATATATATATTTTTTTTTACAAGTAATCGCACTTTTTACACATCCACGAGAGGAAAGTGTCATGAACATGTCATTTTAATATCACGTTCCTTTCCTTCGTAAATGTCACTGTCGTAACTTTGTGTCTGTACAGTGTTCCTCGCTTAGTCGGGGTTCATTGTTCACTGTTTGTCGTCCCCGTATTGGTGTCATTTTCTGGCGCATGGCTTTGTTTTTTGCACTTTGTCGTCACTGCATTGGTATCACCCTTTGCGCGTGGCACTGTTCGCTTTCATTGCTTTTCTGTCACTATTGGTATCATCTCTCGCGCTCGGCACTGTCTTTTCTCACTGTTTGTCGTCACTGCAATGGCATCACGTGGTATTTTTTTCTGTCACTGCATTGGTGTGATCCTTCGCGCTGGGCATCAGTGTCCTCCCGCCCCTCAGTGTCACTGCCTGGGTTTCCTGTCCCATCGACGCCCTGCTCCGCCCATCACCAGTTGAGTCTCCGTCTCATGGGCGACGCGTGGATCGTCCCCGAGGCGATGGGCGTGGGCGTGAGCGTGGTCGTCGGGGTACCCAGGGACCTCCCTCGGGGCTTCTCGTAGGACCCCCTCCTCGCTCCCCCCGAGGCGTCCGTGGCCCCCGAGGACCCCCTCAGGCCGGACGACGGGAACTGCTCGAGGGAGCGCGCCCGGGGTAGGTCCGCGGGCGTCCTCCGCTGCTGCTGCTGCTGGAGGAGGAAGTCCGAGAGGTTCTCCTTCTCGCTCTGGGCGTCCTCCTCGTCCTCCACTCTGTCCTCCTTGCCCTCCTTGTCCGAGTCCTCCTCGGAGTGCTCGTAGGGCTTCACGTAGATCATCTTGGAGAGCTTGCCTTTGGTCGCCATTTTGCCGCGGTTCAGAAAGTCCATAGTCCGCTTACCCCCCTGCTGCGGCGCCCCCCTCGCGCCCTCGCCCGCGTCTACGCCCGCCGCCACGCTGAGGGCGCTGATGCTGCTGTCGCCCACCACGCCCACGGCGCCCAGGGGAGAGTCTGCGCCGCCCTGGGGGAAGGGAGGAAGGCCTGCGTTAGGGAATGCGACGCCAGGGGAAGCAGGTGCCCGTGGCCGTGAGAACAGAGGCTGATCAGCTGTTATCACGGCAACAGGTGATTCGCTTCTGATGAATAACAGATTTGTTATAAACATATATGTCTTGGGAGCGGTGCGAAGGGCGCGGAAAAAAGGGGAGGGTGGAATGAAGGGAACCAGGCCCAGAGGACGTCTTCCGGTGTGTTAATGACCTTTCCGTGACTAATTGCCACTCGTCCGGCCGGGATTCTTTTGTGGCGTTTGCTCCGGTCCGGGAAAGGATAATGATAATGATGATGTTGATGAATAATGGCAGCAACAGTAACTATAACAATAACATTGATGGGAATGGGAATATTCACAACAACCTTCGTCATACTGGTAGTTGGAAGGTTGTAAATGATAACAATAATAACAATGGTGATGGTAATAACAGGAATTATACTAATGATTAAGGGAATATCAAGCTTTCGTTTCTCGCCATTTGTTTAATTACTGTTTTTTTTCCTTTTTTAAAATATCATCGATCGATAACCGAAATGGGAATCGAATTCGTCTTTAGTGTGAATGTCAAGGTAGACGATAGTGAAGAGGGTGAGACTTGGGGTGACAAGAGGGTGAGGGAGGGAAAGGAGGGTAAGGAGGGGAGGGAGGGAGTAAGGAAGGGTGAAGGAGGAGTGAGGGTGGGAGTAAGGGAGGGTGAAGGAGGGAGTAAGGGAGAGGAAGGAGGGGGAGGGTGGGTGAAAGGAGGGAGGGAGGAGAGGGTGAAGGGGAGTAAGGTAAGGAGGAGGTGAAGGAGGGAGGAGGGAGTAAGGGGTGAAGGAGGGTGAAGTAAGGGAAGGAGGGAAGGGAAGGAGAGGAGGGAGTAAGGAGGGTAGGGAGTAAGGGAGGGGAAGGAGTGAGTAAGGATAAGCGGAGGGAGTAAGGGAGGTGTAGAAGGGAGGGAGTAAAGAGGTGAGAGGATGGGAGTAGAAGAGGAAAGAGGAAGGAAGGAGTAAGGAAGGTAGTGGGAGTAAGGAAGTATAAAGGAGGTAAGTGAGGCAAGGGAGGGTGAAGAAGGGAGTAAAGGAGGCGGGAGTAGGTCTGAGGGAAGGGGGGGGGGTTCTTACGGTGGCGTGAGGGAATGTATGCCGCAAAGACCTCGAAAGTGTGTAATGAGAGGAGTGTCGCTGGGTCATTTTGTACCCTGAGTGTGGTGGAGGCGGGGGGGGGGGAAGAGGGAGGGGGGTGGGAGGTTTTCAAGGAAGGGGGAGGGGGGGGAGGTTTCAAAGGAAGGGGGAGCGGGGGGGGGAGGTTTTCAAGGAGGAGCGGTGGGGAGGGGAAGCAAAGGAAGGGGGGGGAGGGGGGTGGAAGAGCCTGGAGGTGGGTGAGAAGGAGGAGGAAATGTGCACACACTCACTAACAACTCATTCACTCACTCACTCACTCACTCATCACTTCACACACTTCACTCACTTACACACACACACAAACACGCCACAACACACAACACACACACACACACACACACACAACACACACACACACACACACCACACACACACACACACACCACCACACACAAACACACAAACACACACACACACACAACACAAACAACACACACAGAGGGGGGAGTCAATAGGGTTCGTAAATGAACAGATCCATTATTCATTTGAAGACTGACAGGTTGTCGCTTTCTCCATCATGTCCCTTCGGCTCCGTCTATTGTGATTCGGCTGATTATCTTTATATATGGTTCCCTTCACGCGATCAGGGCCGGGCGGGGGCGGGGGGGGGGGTAGGGAAAGCCTCATCTGAGCGTGAACAATTGGGAATGGTATTAATGGTACCTCGTCTGAGCGTGAACAATTGGGAATTGGGTAGTAAATTGTACCTCATCTGAGCGTGAACAAATGGGAATGCGTATTAAATTGGTACTCATCTGAGCGTGAACATTGGAATGGTATTATGGTGTACCCTCATCTGAGCGGTTGAAACAATTGCGGCAAATGGTATTTAATGGTACCTCATCTCTTGAGCCTTCCTCTCACCAGTCTTTAACACTCAAACGCGCTTATGCCGACAAAAAGCGTGAACAATTGGATGGTAGTAATTGTACATCATTGCTGAGCGTGAAACATGATTGGAACTGGTATTAAGGTACCTCATCTGAGCTGTGAACAACTCTGGATGGCTATTAATGTACCTCATCTGGAGGCCGGAGTGAACAATTGGGAATGGTATTATGGTACCTCATCGGAGTATGCAAAACTGAACAATTGGAATCGGTATAAGGACCTCATCTGAGCACTCGATAGTGAAACAATTGGGAATGGTCATTAATGGTACCTTCGTCTGAGCAGCTTAGCTAATAGCCACAAACAATTGTATGCCCGCCAGCGTGAAACAATTGGGGAATGTATAATGGTACTCGTCTGAGCGTGAACTAATTCCAGGGAAATGGTATTAATTGTATCTTCATGTCTGAGCGGTGAACAATTGGGAATGGTCAGTAATTGTACCTCATCTGCAGCGTGACAATTGGGAATTGGATATAATGGTTTTTTTACCCCCTTCATTTCTAGGGGGGCGTGAAACAATTTGGAAATGTATTAATGGTGACCTCGTCATGGGCTTGAACAATTGAATGGTATTAATGGACCTCATTTGAGCGTGAACAAATTGGGCAATGTTTTATAATGGTACCTCGCTGGGCGTGAACCAATTTGGGAATGGTATTAATGGATACCTCATCTGAGCCTCGCTTGAACCAATTGGGATTGTAATTAGATGGTACCTCATGCTGAGCGTGAACAATTGGCAATAGTATATTAATGGGTACCTCATCTGAGCGTGAACAATTGGGAAATGGTTATTAATGCCTCACTGAGCGTGAACAATTGGGAATGGTATTATGGTACCTCATCTGAGCGTGAACAATTGGGAATGGTATTAATGGTACCTCGTCTGAGCGTGAACAATTGGGAATGGTATTAATGGTACCTCGTCTGAGCGTGAACAATTGGGAATGGTATTAATGTACTCATCTGAGGGTGAACAATTGGAATGTATAATGGTACCTCATCTGAGCGTGACAATGGGAATGGTATAATGGTACCTATCTGAGCTGTGAACAATGGGAATGGTATTAATGGTACCTCATCTGAGCGTGAACAATGGGAATGGTATTAATGGTACCTTCATCTGAGCGTGAACAATTGGGAATGGTATTAATGGTACCTCATCTGAGCGTGAACAATTGGGAATGAAATGGTATCAAATGATGGAATGTATTAATGGTACCTCATCTGAGCGTGAACAATTGGAATGGTATTAATGGTACCTCATCGTGAACAATTGGAAATTAATGGTACCTCATCTGAGCGTGAACAATTGGGAATGGTATTAATGGTACCTCATCTGAGCGTGAACCGGAACAATGGGAATGGTATTATGGTACCTTCTGAGCGTGAACAATTGGGAATGGTATTAATGGTAAGCGTGAACAATTGGAATGGTATTAATGGTAATAGCGTGAACAATTGCCTCATCTGAGCGTGAACAATTGGGAATGGTATTAATGGTACATACATAAGTTTTGCGGGAATTTAAAGTTCGAAGCCGAGGAATGGTTACAAGCTGGAGAGCTTTTTGTGTTCGGTGAGGTATTTGTTTATTTGTTTGTTTATTTTTTTTATTTGTTTTTAGATGTAGACTTTTTTTAATCGTGAGTGATTGATTTCTGTTTAAATTGCTGTAAAGAAAGTGCTTGATATTTTATCTGTGAGGTTATTATATGTATAGATAGGAGTGTATGCTAGGAATATTGGTACACATTGACGTATAAAACGCACATGCATTTATCTACACGCACCACACGCACACGCACACGCACACGCACACGCACACGCACACGCACACACACACACACACACACAACACCACACACACACACACACACACACACACCACACACACACACACACACACACACACACACACACACACACACACACACACACACACACACACACACACACACACACAGTTACCCTAACTACATTTTGACAATCGTAAAAAAGCCTTGAATGAAAATGAATTAGTCCATTAATCTAAGATAAAAAATAATAATTCCGATAAAAGATACTAATTGATTTGATTTGATAATTCTAAGATAAAAGATCAAAACGATTCTATTACACACATGTTCTGTAAAATTGTTCAATCTCCTGAAAAAATTATTAGAGAAAAAAATGAATGATAAAGAGATTGGATGTGTTTTTGTTTGCTTGTTTGTATTGACGAGAGGATGAGTGTTTGTTTACATTTTCTGGAAGGTCAATAGATAGAAATAATGAGAGAAAAAAAACTGATAATGAGAAATTATTCATATTGTGTGTCTGTATGTCGTTGTGTTCACGGGGATGAAAGAAAGAATAATTGAAAAAAAAATGAATAACGCAAAATTATTTGATGTGTTTTTATGTCTGTGTTTGTGTTCACGAGATAAAAAGAAAGAATATTGAGAGAAAAAATAATCATATATAGTGATTCATTTTTTGTATGTGTTTTATGTTCACGAGATGAAAGAAAGAATATTGAGAAAAAAATGAATAATGAAAAGTGATTAGATTTTATTTGTATGTATGTTATGGTTCACGAAATGAAAACAGAATATTGAGAAAAAATAATACTGTAAAGTGATTAGATTTTTTTTTGTATGTATGTTCATTTTCACGACGTGAAACAAAGAATATTGAGAAAAAATAATGCTGAAAGTGATAGATTTTTTTATAGGTGTTGTTGTTCACGAGGTGAAAGAAAGAACAATGAACAAAAAATGAACAATGAAAAGTGATTAGTTCGTTTATATGCGTTGACGGGATGAAAACGAAGAATATTGAGAAAAAATGAATAATGAAAAATATGTTTTGTGTAGTGGAGGGCTCACCATGCCCTCTCACCCGCTTCATCCGGGAGGCGGGCAAGGAGGATAAAAGGAGGAGAGAGGGAATGTGGAGGAGATAAGGGTAAAGGAAAGGAGGGGAATTGATAAAAGAGGGGAGAAGGGAGGGATAAAAGGAGGAAGAGAGGGAATGGGATAAAAGAGGGGAGATGGGAAGGAGAAAGAAGGAAGAGCGGGAATGGGATAAAAAAAAAGGGGGGGGAGAAGGATAGGGTTAAAGCGGGAGTAAGGAAGGAAAAGGAAGAGCGGGAATTAGATAACAAGGGGAGAAGGGAAGGAGAAAGAAGGAAGAGAAAGAATTGAATAAGAATGGGGTAGAAGGGAAAGGCGTAAAGAGAGTAAGGGAAAGAAAGAAGAGCGAGAATAGGATAAAGAGAGGGAAAAGGAAGAGCGGGAATTAGGCAAAGGGGAAGTGAAGGAAAGAAGGAAGATGAGGAATTGGATGAAGGGGGGAATTAGGGAAAGAAGAAGAACGGAGATCGGATGAAGACTTCGGGAAACAAAGAGAAAAAACTAGGATACGGTAAAGGGGTTAAGTTAGGGGAAGAGAAAAGAGGAAGAGCAAGAATTGGGTAAATAAGGAAACGAAACGAAGGGACTGGGTCGAATAAAGAACAACAGAGAGAAAGAAAAGATCGCGAACTGGGTGCAGGCGGGGGTCAGGGAGGGAAGAAAAGCTCGCGAAAGACATACGGCGGCGGGAGCGAGAGGTCACGTGGTTTTCGCGCGCTGGCGGCCGAAGGCGAGAGCTCCCCCGGACACGACCTGAGGCTGCGAAGGCCCGCGGGTGACTGACTGGCGCGGCGCCCTTTTGGCGGGACGCGCGCTGGGCTGCCCCTCGCCATCTGCCTCCGTCTGTCTGTTTTTGGCGCGCTCTTTGTCTGTGTGTCTGCGTGTTTATCTGTCTATTTATCTTTTCTGTCTGTCTGTTATCTTGTTGTTTGTGTTCCTGGTATTTATCTACCTGTATGTTTATCTATCTGTCTGTCTGTCTGTCCCTGTCATCTCTCTCTCTCTCCCTCTCCCTCTGTCGCTCTCCTATCCCTTCCTCCCTCCCTCCCTTTCTCTCCTTCTCCCTCTCTTTCTGTCTCTCTTTATCTTCGTCATTATCATATCCATTTATATCGGAAAAAGCTCCTCTAAATAACTATCCATACAGTCTGTACAATGCACTCATTAATGTGTTCGTGTTTTTTTCTTGTATGCGATTCCGTTTCTCCTATTTGCTCCCCTCGCCCCATATGTATACGCTTACATCCGTGCGTGTGAACAGCCGCGTTTTGTTCAGCCTAAACCTTCGCCGTCTGTTCCCCGTCCGTTCACCCTTGGCCACTCACTGGGCAGGTTGTTGTTCATTAGGGTTGTCATGGCACTGCCTCTACGCCCCTCTGTATTCCCACGTGACACTGTGTTGGAGTTTTGTGGACACTTTTTGGAATGTTGTTGGTGGAAGGATAGTAGCGTGTGGGGTGCTGTAGGGAGTAAAGTGTATCTTCTCGAGTTTCTGTGTTTCTATTTTCGCTCTTTCTTGTCTATTTCTTTCTTTCTCTCTGCTCACCTCTCTCCTCTGCTCTATGTCTCTTCTGTCTTTCTCTCTGTCTCTAGGTCTTTCTTTCTGCATCTTGCTTCTCTCTCTGTGCTATTTTGTTGTGTTTTTCGTACTCGGTCACACTGCGTGCAGTTCTCTGTGTCCTCTCTTTGCTCTCTCGCGCCCTATCCCGTGTCTTTCGGGTATCTCTCTTCTCTCTATCTCTCATTCTCCTCTGATCCCTCCTCTCCGCTCTCCTCTCTCAATCCTCTGACTCTACTCTCTCATCTGCTCTGACTGGCTCTCTCATCTCTCTCTCTCTTCTCCCTCGTCCCCTTACTCGTCTTGCTTTGTCTCCCCTTGATTCTCCCTCGTATTCTCCCCTTCTGGTCTTTCAGATTCTATCGTTTGTATTTCGCCTAATCTCTGATCACCCACCCAGCGTCCAGTCCCCCCTCTCCCTCCCTTCGCCTCTCTCTCTCTCTCTCCTCTCTCATCTCTGCTCTTGCCTCCATTCCCGTCTCTCTCTCTCTCTCTCTCTCTCTCTCTCTCTCTCTCTCTCTCTCCTCTCTCTTCTCTCTCTCTCTCTCTCTCTCTCTCTCGGCCTTCTCCCTCTCCCTCTCCCTCTCCCTCTCCCTCTCCCCCTCTCCCTCTTCCTCTCACTCTCCCTCTCCCTCTCCCTCTCCTCCCTCCTCCCTTCTCCCTTCCTCTGTCTCTCTTCTCTTTCTTTTCTCTCTTTTCTCTTCTTTTTTCCCCTAGCCCGTTGTCTCTTTCCCCTGACACATATGTTTGTGGAGAAAATTGCTAAGGGATTTGGGCATGCACGCACCCGCGATGAATATGTGTTACATTGATATAAGTGCGTGCATGCCAGATAATCGTTGGTGTTCACGCTCACACACAAACACGCTCACGCTCTCCCCACACACACGCTAGCACTCAAGAGGCCACATCTACCCGGCCCCCCCGGATACCCCTTCCCGGTGACCAAAAGCACGAAGGCACCTTTCCCTCCCTTCCTGTGACCAATGTTAAGCACCCTGCCCTCCCGGCCTTTCTGGTGAGCCGAAAAGTACAGAGGTGCAGAGGGCGGGACCAGACCAGCCACCCCCTACCCCTCCCCCCGCCCACCTGGGAGTGTGGGGACGCAAACATCAAGCAACTTACCCCGGACCGCCCTGCCTGTGACCAACGACAAGGAAAGACACGACCTTTGACCACCTTCCGGGTTCCTAAAGTGAGACAATCACAGGAAGCACCCCTCTCCGCTCACGGATCCCGCTCCGGACTGCTGCACCAATCACAAAGCACGACCCGACCTCGACGAGACGCGTCGACCGCACCGTCCCATGAACCCGAAAACAACGAAAGGCACCGACCGCTCCCCTCCCCACTCCCGTTAAATCCGGAGAGCTTGACCGAACACAGAAGCAGACCTTCCCCCCCTTGCACTTGACAAGATACAGCACCTTTCCCCTCCGCCTCCCTGTGACCCAATACGCAACTTTTCCCCTTCCCCTACCTGTGACCAATAACTAGCAACCCCTCCCCCGCTTCCTGTGACGCCAACACGAAGCAGCGGAACTCCCCTTACTCCCCCCCCGTCGCGTGACCGGAGATACAAGCACCACCTACCCTTCGGCGCCACCCTTCCTGATGAGGCCAACACAAGCACTACCCCCCCCTCCTGAGGAGTGAGATAGAGTGCCTGTGAGACCAACACAAGCACCCCTCCGCGGCCCCCCTCGCTGTTGACCGGAAAGGCACAAGCACCTTTCCTTCCCCCCAGACGCCACAAGCCACCCCTCCCCCCCTCCCCTCCCTGCCAGTGACACGACATATGAACAGTTGTCCCCTTCTCACTTCATGGACACAGAACAAGCACTCCCCCACATTCTTTGACATACACAAGGAGCCTTCTCCAGCCCCCCCCACCCCGTGACAAACAGTCAAGGGACCCCTCCCCTCCCCAGACGCGGCCCGCAAAGCAACCCCACCACTCACCACTGACCGCACAAGCACCCCCTAGCCCAGAGAGATGAACGCGTGTGAACCGATAGGTGACACACATTCACCGCCCACGCCCACCCCCTATGATACAAGCACATGCCACCCTCCCTCCCACCCCACCCTCTTGAATACACACATGCACCCCGAGCTCCCTAGGGACAAGCAAACCCCATCACACGTGACAGCGTGACACACACGATAAGCAGCCGGCCATCCTGTGACCGCAAGCGGCGACTCCCCCAGGACCCGCGGCCGTTGATAAACAAGCACCCCCTGGACCCCACGCGGAAGTGAGACAAACACAGAAGCACCTCCACCACACCCGCAAGACGAGTGACCGAAAAGAATTGTATACCCCGAACCCCCTGCCGACAGCGATTGAAGAGGATACAAGGACAAATGGCAGCCCGCCCCCCTACCCACAAACTAAGGACCGAGAGCGACAACCTTGTATCGATACGCACCAGACGTTGACATAAGAGATGACCCCCCCACTGCCATCGACACCGGCCATTGATCACACAAGAGGCAGTCCCAGAGCAGAGAACTCGACGGCCTCCCACAAAAAGAACACAGGGCCACGCCCCCTCAACCACCGCCCAGACACAACAGGAGCACCCCCGCATCTGGACCCGAACAAGAAGCACACAAGCGAGACCCCCAGACCCCTCCCAACAAGAAGAAACACAGGGGCAACCTCCCCGAACACACTCCAAGTGACACAAGCACTCCCCCACCCCGCACCCTGATTGGGAATACACGGACAGCACCACCCCCTCCCGGCAAGGAACACACAAAGCAACCAACCACCACTACCCCACGTGGTTAACACAAGAGGCTCCCCCTGGGCCCCCCTTTGATACACACACCCCCACCCCTCCCACAGAAAACACAGGCAGGAACCTCCACCACACCCCACGTGGGGACACGAAGACCCCCCTTTCCTCCACAAACACCGAGGCACCCCACCACACCCCACGTGAACCACAAGCACTCCCCCCACGGGTCACTCCACCCCCCCTTGATACACACAAGCACCCACCCCGCCTCCACAATACACACAAGCAAACCCCACCCCTCCCGGACAAAAATACATGACAAGCCCCCACCAACACTCACAACGTGACACAAGCACTCCCCCCCACCCACCCCCGCACCCCCTCTCCCCCAGACACACATTGACATCTATATCCTGTTCAGTGTGCGTTTCTCTCCAGCAAGCACAGCCCCCCGTTCTTCGACTTCGTTCTCTTTATTATCTTCGGGTCTGATTGTTTTTATGTTGTGCTCAGTCTGGCTGTCAGATGGCGCTTGGGGATCGAATGCCAAATAATATTCCAGGGTACAGTTTTTTTTTTTTTTTTTTTTTCGTTTAGTCCTTTCTCCTTTTTGTTCCTTCTTTCTTATCGGCTCTTTCACTTACTTGCCCTTCTTTCTGTTCTTTCCCTGCTTTGCTTTTCCGTCCCTTTCTTCCTTGTCCAATCCCGTCCTTTCTCGTTCTCATCCCATCTCTTTCCTTTCCCCCTTTCTCTCCTCTTCCCGGCTCCTACCTCCCTCTCTTTCCCTCCCCTCTCTTCCCCACCCATCCCCTCTCCTTCCCCCTCCCCTCTCCTTCCCTCCCTCCATTTCCACTCTTCTCCTCCCCACTCGCCCTCCCTCCCCTCCCACCCCCACCGCTCACCACCTGCCCCTTGACCAGCGAATAAATCACGAAGGATAATTAGAAAGAGAGAAAGCGCAGCGCCCATTAGCTCAGCCGATTGGTTTTAGTAGGACGACTCGATCCCCCCCCCTCCGTCGGCTTTTGGGGTGCCTGGCGGGGGCGGTCGAGACGCGGCTCATTCTCCTTGGGGGTTGTCGCGTCTTGGGGAGTTAGGTTTGGTTTGGTTTGTTGTGTGTGTGGTTTGAAGAGAGAGAGAGAGAGAGAATGAAGAAAGAAGACAAGAGAGAGAGAAGAGAGGGAAGAGAGAGAGAGAGAGAGAGAAAGAGAGTTAGTGAGAGAGAGTTGTGAAGAGTTAGTGAGAGAGTTAGTGAGAGAGAGAGTTAGTAGATGAGAGTTAGTGAGGAAAGGAATTAGTGAGAAAGAGTGAGAGAGAGAGAGAGAGAGAGAGAGAGAAGAGAGAGGAGAGAGAGAGAGAGGAGAGAGTAGTAGTGAAAGAGTAGTAGTAGTAGTAGTATAGTAGTAGTAGTAGTAGTAGGATAGTAGTAGTAGTTAGTAGTTAGTAGTAGTAGTAGAAAAGGGGAGGGGAAAATGAGTGGAGGAGAAGCGGGGTGGGAAGGAGGATAAGGAAAAATGGATATTGAGGGCGAGAGAGAACCAGAGCGGACTGGCAGACAGAGACATAGAGAAAAGAAGAGACAGACAAATAAAAACAGAGATAGAGGGCAGAGTGAGAGAAAGAGAGCGA